CCGTTAAAAACAAGTTAACAGATGAGGTTCAAAAGAGCAGCCTGAAGGCCTGAACATCCACCAAGTACTGTAAAACTTAAACATTGAACTGAAGACCGGGTGGCCGATTTGCAAATACAGGAAACTGATGCCTAATGCCGAAAAAAAGCCCATGAAGCAGGAACCCCTATGAAGACCTTCAGAAACGACAGAGCTGGACTGTCAAAAGAAAGCTGTAGTTGAGAACAGCATGAACTATATCCAGACAATGGGAGGGGAAATTTCCTTAGAATGTTTAAGAGCAGGGCAGAGAAATGGTAGAACAATGTCCTGGTTAAGGTGAAAGAAGAAACCACCCTTGAGAAGAAAAAGAGGCTCTGGCACTCAAAACTTCCTTGGCCTTGAGTAAGGGTTTACTAGTTAAGGGCGCCAACATGGAAACTCGTCATGCAAAAAAGTGATAGTGAAAAGGAAGGCAGCCTTGCCAGTAAGGATAGACAGCAGGACACACCTAATAAAATCAAAGGACCAGACTGTGAAAAACCGACAGGACCAGACTTAGATCCCAGGTAGTCACTGGGGAAAGTAAAAGAGGAACAATGTGAGCGACACCCTGTACAAAGGCCTCCTATAAGGAGTAAGAAGCAGGCAGCCTCTAAAAAAGAACTGCGATGGTCGAGATTTGAAGCCAGGTTGGATGACCTCCCAGATTAGAGGTCCAGCATTAAGGGAATAACTGAATCAACACAAATTCCATAATTCTGATCTGGAGCCCACTTTCCTCCGACGACCAAGTACCTGTACCAAAATGGGTACCTAGGACTCCTAACCAGCCCAACATCTACCATGTTGAGAGGAAGGATTTCCATCAATGGACTAGAAAGAAAATAACTTTTCAAGCACATATAATGAATGCTTGCAATTATTATGCACAATGTGAACACATTTATAATGGCACAAGATGTATAAAAATAATTTTTTAATACAATCATATAGCACTCTAAACATGGACAAAACGTTATTGCAACACATTGGTGCCAACATATGCATGTTAAACTGGTAGGAAAGAAACAAGAGTAAGCCACGTGTACATAAATACAATCCAACGTGCATTAGTGAATGTGCATATTGCAGAGAAAATTTCACAGAGATATCAATTGTACCTTTGTGTAGACTATACACCACATTTAAACATATGTTTGAAGTCTGGGTGCTATGTAAATACCTGAACTAACTTTAGGAAAGTCCAAAAAGGTGGACAGAAGTTAAACAGGGCAGTTTTTGATCTATTCCTTAATTTCACCCGATGTTGAAGGCCCTCCCAGAGAATGTCTGATGACAGCTGAATGGTTGTATGCCCACGAGTTTGCCATTTGCAAAGAGAAAGACTATTTTAGACCTTCCCTCCCAATAGGTGTCCAGAGTAGAACGTGCCGTTAACATTCATATCCAAAGGATAACCACCTAGATATCGATTGGCTAAAATGATGGAGCAGTTGTTTGAAGCCAGCACTAACACGTGTATTTGGTTCTTGTACTGTTGCTTTTATTGTCCAATGGATGATATGGGTGGCCAGCATCAACAACTCTCCTATCTGGTAAATTTAAGTCATTACCTTGGAAGGTCAAACCTGTTGCATATTGGGCCACTCACAGACCGTTCAGTTTGCCATAGGTGGGCAGCTTCAGATATAGAAAAGAGATCACAACCTTTGCTATTCCAGACTGCTAATGCTCTAATCCAGGGGTGCCCATTAGGTAGATCGTGATCTACCAGTAGCTCTCAAAGCTGATGCTGGTAGATCACGAAGGGTGTGAATGGTGGAGAGACAGCCAGGAGGGCGAGCAAGGAGAGACAGCCAGGAGAGCGAGCAAGGAGAGACAGCCAGGAGAGCGAGCAAGGAGAGACAGCCAGGAGAGCGAGCAAGGAGAGACAGCCAGGACAGTCGAGAGACACACAGAGAGGGAGATAGAGAGACACAGAGACAGAGAGAGATCTTATTATCGTTGGTAGATCTCATGAAGCTCGTCATTTGAAAAGTAGATCTTAACACAAAAATTGTGGGCACCCCTGGTCTAATCTATACATTGGGACTGCCCTGTCTATTTAGAGATAAAAGATTTGAGCCATTTCATTCAACGTTTACAGATATTTTGGATTAATTAGCTTGTTAATACATTGGTTTCACTCACCTCTTCATCCTCTGCAAGCTGTAACTGTCTAGCAATTGTTTCATCATCCATTGTGGAATCAGCACTGCTTTTCCGAGGCTATACATTTGGGAAAAGAAAAGAATAGTTACAAATTCAACAGTTAGCAAAAATATATTAAATAATATATCAAACAAGTGAAGAGAATTTTTTATCCGTAGCATTGTAGCAATAATATTTCCTTATTTTCCTAGTGTGGAAAAGGGTAAGATTTTTAATTTTAAACTTCTGAAATATTACACCCGTGTAAAGTGTATACTTTTCCAGGCTTAAAATAACCACCTACCTTACAATTTTACCCCTTTATTGACTAAATGCTAATAACACTGCACAACAATTTTTGTGAAAAGTTTTGCTTCCTGAAAAGTTTTTGCTGATTGTGACAGGTATCTGGTGGGTATGCACGAATATAGTTTTGGTTTGGCTGCGTCACGTAAGAACTCTGAGAAATAGACGGTTAACTGTTTACCAGCAATAACGTATTTAATTGTGTTTATGTTTCTAATACGCTATTAAAGTTCAACATAATTAAAAGGTGTTTTGCTCCTGATTTTCATTTGTATTCCATGCCCGATGCATCACGTTGCAGTATCCAACAGTAGTCAGCATTGACTGATTCCAGTTGTCCTGGTGAAACCTTTCAGATATCCACAGATATTCCAGTTGTACTTGCTGTACTGGATGTGCTTCAGCAACATTTTCATGTTCTCATAGGTTTCTTTCATGTGTGCTGCATAGCCAACAGGCATTGAAGGGTGATGTTGCTATTGTGTAACAGAACAGCTTTGAGGCTTAACATTGACAAATCAATAAAGAGATGCCACTCTTGCGGGTCATGGCCACAACCCAAAGCAGAGAACAATCCTTTGTGTCAACACAGAAACAGAGACAGTCAACTTGTGCAAAGAATTTGGTTATATCTTGGTGACAGCAAACACCATTCCTGCAGTCTTGAACCCAGCAATTCGGCTTTTTCTTTTGACAAATCTCTGACCAAATCGTTTAATTCTGACTGTTATAAGATGTGGATCGCCTGAGGAGCATGGTTCAAAATCCAGGATCAATGTCATTGCATTGCAGTTTCTTCATCTGGTTCGTCTAAGGTCCATTCCTCTGCTGGTTTCAGAATTGGAAGACTGTCGTCATGTGGCACAGGTCTCATTGCTGAAGGCAGATTAGGGTATTCAATTGACTTCTTGTTTTTAGCAGAGAAACCAGACACATTAGTCAAACAGAACTAACAGTCCATCACATGGTCTTTCTGTTCTCACCATATCATCGGGACAGCAAACGGCATTGTTTTTTGAGTGTCTCTGAGCCAAGCTCTCAGACAGACAGCACATGTCACAGAACAAATGTGAGGCACCAATTCCTTGTCTTGATCACCAATATTACAGCCGCAGTACAAATATGCTTTCTTCACAAACGCAGTCATTGAGCGTCAAAGCGTATACTCGCCACAAATGTAGCAGAATGTATCGAGGCTGTTACGACATTGACAAGACATATCGACCGACACCAATCGTCCTGTAAAACGTCTATAACATCTAACTTACTTGTTACAGTGCTACTGAGACAATGCTATAGTCTGAAACAATACGTACACACTATAAGGTCTATATTAATCCAATGAGCAGCATCTGTGTATGCAAGCCTCTTTTGTAGTCTGCTGAGACAGTGACAAGCTGGCTCTGGCCTGCCCAGGCGGCATACTTCCACAGAAAAGCTTCCAACCTGGCCTGATTGCATGCCTGGACATGCCCAGACTGCACAAAACATTGTTCATAGGTCTCTTACAGAAACAAACATTTTTGGACACAAATATAAAGGAGAAAAAAAAAATGACAAAACGGATTTCAATGAAACGGTATGTGATGGGCAAATTTGGATGTGATTTTCATGATCAGCAGTCAAAAATCTATAAGGAACACCAAACAGTGTTCAAGAAGCAAAAACTTTGTTGTGCAGTGTAATTAGTTCTGGTTATTAGAAAGAACTAAAAATGTTATTTTCCCTAATATACAGTACAAGATGTGGCTGACGCGGTCTTTCAATGGTCAACATCTCCATGCAGTTTAACCCTTTCGCTGCCAAGGACGTACGGCATACGGAGCTACAACAGTGCTTCTGGCTGGCCAGCTCAGTATGCCGTACGGACCTGGCATTTACAGTTTACAGAATTGTTCAGCAGACTGTCCCCTTCAAAATAATAGCTGTCATCAGCGGCTCACAGGCCGCTGATGACTGCTATAGACATATGTGTCCCCAGTTATGAATGAACAAGCTGTGATCTACATCACAGCCTGTTCATTCATAAATTTATGAATGGGGACTAGCACTCACTACAGAATAAAAATGTGTAAAAAAAACTACTAAAAAAAAAAGCACAACCCCTCCCTCCCCCCACATAACACACACATATTGTGGTGCACACCATGCACATGCGCTGCAGTGCGTTGTTAGAACGCATCGCAGTGCATGATCTTTATTTTTCTTTTTAAAAAAACATTACATTTTTTTAAATTAAAAGCTTTGTGACTCATTGCCATGCGTTGTGATACCTTGTGTTGCAATTAAATATACACCTGTATCATTTTATCACAACACAAAAACAATTTTTTACACAAGTCCATTATTTACAGTTTTGCACACCTTAATTTTTTTACCTTTTCGCAAAAAGGCGCAATTACAAATTTGCTAATATTTGTTATTTATTAACTCAATACAGTTTTATCTTTTAGATTGTCAGAACATAATTTTGTTTTGTGCACGGATACTGATTTTAGTGTGTTTTATCAATTGAATTGTGTATTTTTATCGGTTTAATATTAATTTGAGAAACATTTGCGCAATTATCGCACGGCCTACAAATTTAGTATCACCATCTTTTTATTCTACCGGGCCTGCGCTTTCAGAAAATATATGGTTTGGGGGGTCTTTTACAAACGCTAGCAACGCAGCAGTTGAAAATCAAATCAATAGGAAAAAAATGCAAAAATGGCTTGGCCAGCTGATTTGAAAAATGTTCGAGGGCTTGGCAGCGAAAGGGTTAATGACATCCACCAATAAAAATGTAAATGTTAGCAGCTGTGTCGGGAGCATATAATGATGCTTACAGAGATATAGGACAGCATACCAGTAATCGCTTCAGAGTAAAAAATTTATATTGGTTAAAAAACAAAAAGCAGCACAATGGCACAGGTAGACACAAAATGATAATAGAATATGTAACCATTTTTTGTACCTGCTTATACACTAAGGGCCAATATCTAAGAGGGTGCTGCCCTTCAAAAACTGCAATGCATATCAGCTGCGTTTCCCCTTCTCTCGGTGTACCCATTAAGATATATTGAAACCCAAGAACAGAAAATAAGATCTGAATGGAGAGCCATGTCAACTGTATTCTGACATCAATACAGGTAAAAACATAGCTCTGACTACAAGGAATACCCATAGGAATCGAGTCTATTTTGACACTTCTACACAACCCTTAGTCAATGAAAACAAAGTACCTCTTCTTTCTTGACTTCCACAAGTTTTTTGTTGGATCGCTTAATACTGTCCATGCCAAAGAAATCCTCCACTGATGTACACACCCGCTTTTCTGGGGTTTTGGCTTTGGCTGGAGCATGGATTTTGGTGTTTGTAACCTGAGGCTTTGGAGGGGGAGAAAATGCAGATCTTCCATTTTCTTTTGGTTTCCTTTTCAAGGTTTCAAAGTCTTCTTCATCTAGAATTAGAATAAAACAGGATTGTAGCAAAGCCCAAATATATATGGAAGGATGTTTGCAAGGCAAATTAATCTAAAGTGATCAGCCTTTACCCAAGTGTGAAGCACAGTAACATAACCTGTAAGGCCTGGTTCACACCTGGGTGTTTTACAGCGCGTTCCTACGCGCTGTAAAACGCTCAACATGTGAAAACCAATAATTGCCTATGGGCATGGTTTCCACCTGGGCGTTTTACAGCGCGTAGATGCAGTCACTGTTCGGGTATTCATGTAGTCGCGGCTGCTGAACACAATAGCCAGAAGTGGAGATTTTTCCATCCTCACTGTTCACTGTGGATGGTGAAATGGACGGATTTTTCAAACCTGCTTTTGTACTCGCACTGGCCTATTGTTCTAATTTACTAGTGCTTTAAGCCCCGTTCACATTGAGCGGTTCGCAAATCGCGCGTTTGTCGCGCGATTTGCATTTTGCGCAAATGCTTGCATTGAGCAAGCTTGAATCGCGGCTAAATCCGCTCCAAAAAGGGTCCTGCTGTAGCGACACACGACCCGCGACAGCAGGACCCTTTGCCCCATTGAGAAGCATTGGAGAGCGATATCGCGCGGTGAATTGCCGCGATATAAATCGCTCAATGTGAACGGGGCCTTAGACCGAATGCAAAGGCAGTATTCCAGACATATAAGTTACAACAGGAGTCAGTAGTCTGGCTCAGAAAATTTGAACTTTTGCTGAGCATCTAAATGCAGTACTATATCTTTTACATTTAAATTCAGCTGCAACTTGGAAAGACCTATCCAACACCAAGACCCCGAGGGTCCATGCTATATAGAGAGTATTATTACAGCTAAGCTCTAAGAAGATATAAAGCACACAAATAAATGAAGCTCTGCAATCAATACAATATGTAATTCTTTTTTTTAATGCAAGAAGTGTGATATATGAATTTGACTTGCTATTCTCTTGCAGTACTTGTAGAAAAGCTAAGTCTGCTCATGTGCTGACCAGGAGCATGCTCATAGGAGAAAGCAGATTAATAGATAAGCTCATCACTATACTGCCACTGCTTCATTGCCCAATCACAGGCTTGGCTCAGTGGAACTGCAATGAATGATTCATGCTTTAATTCACCAAAAGACTGAGGACATTTAAACCAGATGTTGTTAAAGAAGTACTGGGAGGACCCGCTCTGGACTTAAGATGAATATTGCAGCAAAGGCAATTATTTTATCTTTTAATGAGGTATTAATCTTGGAGTTTTCCAATAAGCTCTAGATTTGACAGCTACAAAGTCATGCTGAAGACCTCCTGTTCCATTTCATCCCAAAGGTGATCCACTGGGTACAGTGATAAACTACCATGGTTATGGCAGCAGCATAATTTGAATGCTTTGTAATATGGCATTTTCCTGAAGCAATAAACCATTTGCTAATGAGCAGGTTGTGGCTATAAAGTGATGCACATGATCACCAAAAACATTCAGGCATGCTGCTACCTCAGGAATATATTAGTGGGCCTAAAACAGGATGGATCCATATATGTATGCCAAACCCTGGCACTATCATGACAGCTGGTTCCAGCGTATGGACCCACCACAAGACTCACATAAATAGGTAACTATCTACATACAGACACATGCACAGTATAATTGTATTCATTCACTCGTCTTCATAGACCAGAGAAGGAATGAGCCCTGCTTTAAAATATTTTGTCACTTCCTAAGCCATCATCGGGATTATACATTTAGAAGACAGCTTAAATGGTGATACAAAAGGGTACACCTTGTTTGTTCCAAGGACGTTGTGTTCTTGTGCCAAGTTCTCTTTATATTCCTGGCAAAGCTGTTACCGCAAGTGCTGCGTTACTGCTAAATTTGCTTTCAAGCACACCGGCAAACAATATTTTTGGTAACACAATTACGGTAACACATGGAGCAATAACGTGCAGAGCAGCTTCTGCGCAAACAGCAGCAATATATCCTGTCCATCAATCTGTTTGTTAACACTGCACATGATCCCTTAATGAATGACTCATGGCTGACTGCTGCGTGTAATGCTTTCCTGGGGCTTTACACACTGTACGTCTTCTACAATATTACGAGAAGCACAGAAGATCGCCACAGGCTCTCATTCCCACAGGATCAATGTTTTAATATAAAAGATGAAGCTTGGTAAAGACTAGAATTGCCTAAGATTATTATTATTTTTATCAGAAAGCGCCTTATCATGAAATAAAAAGTGGAAAAATAAAAACAAAAATGGAAATAGAATTAACACAACATTTCAACTGAATGGCATGTGATATTTTTGAAGGAAGAAATACAGAATTACTCTTACAAGTAGGGATGCATTGATACCGGTTTTTCGGTATTAAGTACTGATATTTTTCTTTCCGGTACTCGCCGATACCGGTGCTGTGTGCCCCGATTAGCAGAAAAATCAGGCGGCGGATCATGGCCCGCCACCCCGGCTTCCCGATTGCCTGGGAAGCCGATGTTCTATCAAAAGAACACCGGCTTCACTTGCGGAGGCAGCCTAACCAATCAGGAAGCCGGGCGGCGGGTCATGAGGTGCCGTCCGCTTCCTAAATGGTCAGGAAGCTAGGCTTGCCTAGCAACAAGTGAAGCCGGGCGGCACGTCAGGACCCACCTCCCGGCTTCCTGATTGGCTAGGAAGCCGGCTTCACTTGTTGCTAGGCAGCTTGGCTTCCTGACCAATCAGAAAGCCGGGAGGTGGGTCATGGGGTGCTGCCTGGCTTCCTGATTCGTTAGAAAGTCAGGCTGCCTAGCAACAAGTGAAGCCAGCTTCCTAGCCAATCAGGAAGCGGGTCATAAACCACCGCCCAGCTTCCTGATTGGAAAGAATGCCGGCTCCATGCTCCCTCAGCACTGCCGGTCAGAGGGAGATCTCCCTCTGACCGGAAGTTCCGGTGTCGGAGGTAAGTAAAAAGGAGCATTTGGGGAAGTACGAGTACTCGCCCAAATACTCGGTATCAGCACCGATACAATGCTAGTATCGGTGCATCCCTGCTTACCAGCAATTGGTTTTACATGAATCCTCCACAACACATAACTGTACATATATTCTGAAACCCCAGGGGCCATCTTACACATCCCCTCGCTAAAGCTCCCTAGTGGATAACAAAGCTACCACTTCATATTCAGAGACCAACATAAAAGGTGCAAGGTCCAAAAGGGACCAACCTCTGATTAAAACTGGCATAGGGGTCCTTTTTTTTTTTTGCACCTGGGGCAGACGTGACAGAAAACGGAGCAGATCGCTCCTAATAAAAGGGACTTGTACCTCCTTTGTTAATTGGGAGCAGTATCTGCTCAGTTTTCTAAATTTAGAAGAGTGGCGCACGCTTTATGCCTGAACCTATCTTTGATCATTTCCTTCATTGTTTCTTTTTCTCTCTTCTTTCCTCTACCTGATGAAGGAAACATTTCCCATTATACTTTAACTTCCTTTTTCCCACAGAATGTATCATCCCTTATTAAACGCCTAAAACGACATTCCTTCTAAACGCACACTATCTTATGTAAAAATCGGAAAACCTGCATGAGACCTTACAGTTTGAGAATCAAATGTGGTTTACCATAACCAAAGAATTAGGAATAGCTATTAATGTGTGCACACACCTATATTCCTTAAGATATTTATGACTATTTGGATAGTTTTTTTAGAAGCTTTGTGAAAGAACATCAACAAATAGTAATGGATGCGACACTCCAAATGTATATGTGGCTCAATTTAAATTGGAATATTCAGGAACCATCAAGACAAACTGTCGGTCTGTTTTGATGGTTCCTGGATATGCTGATTTATATGGAGTAAAAGGAAGCCACATATACACTTGGAGTGTCACATCTTTTACTATTTGTTGAATTCCTCAGAGAGGCGGGCTGGGCTGGCACCTGCGAGGTGGAGTAAAGTGGACAGACATGGAGCAGCACTGTTTTTTTGGACACGAAGAACTTGACCCTTGCAGTAGTGGTATCCCCGTATTACAAGGGTTAAGTGCTCATTTTTATCTTGGAGCAGAAATAACGAAAGGTATACTCACCTGGACCTCGGAGGCGGCTGGCTGCTACTCCACTTCATCGATGCTATGTCCCTAAGTGCCCTCACAGGGCCTTAGACCAGGGGTAGCCAAACGCTGGTCCTCCAGATGTGGTGAAACTACAAATCTCATGATGCATCTCTCCCCAGGAGTCATGTCTGTGGCTGTAAGAATGTAGCAATGCATCATGGGATTTGTAGTTTCACCACACCTGGAAGACCAGCGTTTGGCTACCCCTGCCTTAGACCACCGGGCCGAAAAAGGGAAGAGAGGCTTGAGGGACCGTTCTAACAGCCAGCCGGGCTGCAGGTTCAGGCGAGTATAACTTTGTTATTTTCACTCTTAGACCAAAACGAGCAGTAAACCTTTGCAGTGCCAGGGTAGCACTACAGCGAGGATTAACATCATTTTTTTTTTATTATTTTAACCGGAGTTACACTACCCTTTTTTATATCAGACATAGTGACCATCTTTGGAAAATATGACAAGATCACTTATAGCGCATCATAAATCAACATTAATGTGCCCCTATTTCCAGTCATTGAGCAATCCACTATGTTTTATTGAGCTATGGTGTATTAAACTTTAAATATTAATAAACAGACTATTAGGATATAGCCGTGTTAGAATTTCTCTATACAGGTTTTTTAAGGTTTATATCAGGGGCGCCCACAATTTTTCGTCTGGAGATCTACTTTTCAAATGACGAGCTCAATGAGATCTACCAAAGAAAAAACATCTGCATTCAGGGGCGGGAGGGGGCGTGGCGGTGCATTGAAGTCAATGGCACTGCAGCCAGTCACCGCAGGCCGGCCCCTCGCCCACAGTGCGATCACCTGCACCCGGAACCCAGGCACATCAGTGCCTGCGTTCCAGTCCGGTGCAATCCGCAAAAATGCTGCGAGCACTATTTTTGCAGATCGCACTGGACCGGATTTGC